GACATGGTAGCAACGGAATGATGCATGGAAGCATTCTTGGAGGTATTTTGTTAAATCAGTTAAAACGCATTTGATTTGTGCACCTTTGTAGGAGCGCAAAAACTGACCACTTCCTGAAATGTTAAACAGCTCATATCAAGAAGATGGTGAAGTTAACTATTATTTGCAGTACATCTTCTGGCTCTTCGTTATTAACTTGATATTTCAAACTTGTCCTCTCCTTTTTTGGGATGTTTTTCTAGAGATATTCACAATCTTGCAAATAGACAGATTTATGCGACAAATGAACTAGGGACGTTAATACTTGGGCCTTTTTATTAATCATTCTGATAATAAGCCACAAATAAGTAGATATGAGCATCATAGTAGCAAAAATTTTTGCTTAGTCGACGCAAAAAAAATATAAATAGTCGGATATATATATACAGTATATTTGAAAAATGAAAAAGGTGAGTAGAAAGATGAGCAAAATTACTAAAAGCTTAAAGTAGAGCAGACGTAATGTATAGTGGAATGGATAAAACAATTCTTAAATTATTTTACATTGTCTCGAATATTTGCACGATTTTCCGGGTAATACTTTCCATTTAAGGGCTAATTTCACAGGAAAAGGTGGTCCTTTCAATAAGTTTCCTAAATTAGTTAAGAACAAAATTGATGTTGGCGGATTGGCTAAATCAGTTGGATTAAGATAGTGGTTTGTGATATGCAAGAAATCTATGCTCCCTTTATTAATGATGCGTCCTTTTTTGTTGAAACAGAATCTAAAACTGAAACAGGTAACTTGAACTGAAAGATAGAAGGAGAAACGGAAAGAGAGGATGAGATGGAGAATCTGTGTACAAAAGAATTATTACAAGGGACAATTTATGAATTCCACAATTCAGTGTAGCAAGAGTGGATAATAGAGAGAAAAGGAGGAGGAAAAGTTTCGAGGAGGGAAGGGCAAGTATTGCAGAAAAATAATGTGTAATGTAGTTGAGGGAGGAGGCGGGGGGTGAGGGGACCCTCCTCTCTCATCTTCTATAAGCTTATTATTAAGCTGAGCTTTGAAGCTTTCAATGATTTAGCTTTGCATTTGCCTGTCAACTGTCACAAACGCCTCAATGCCTACCTCCCTACTATTTTCCCCTCCTTCTCCACCTTCTCTCCTCTCCACATCCCTTTCATATACCAAACTTCCCATTTTCACCATATTTCAGGTTTTCATTAATTAGCATACAAAATAAACTGCTTCCGAAAAGTTGAAATAAGCTGAAATAACTCTGAAATCACTGAAATATCGATTTTGCCCCAATGTAACTGAAAGTGCCCCAGGAGTGACACCAACCCCCCAATAAGGTAGGTAACGAAATAGGCTAGGCTCAGAGGAAGCACACGGTGTATTTTCTTGGCTGTGAAATCTGTTTCTATTTTTTGGTAATACGCTAACTGTTTCGATGATTGCAAAGGTAGCAGCATGTGAGGAGTGCATCTCACAATTAAATGATACTTCTGTTTGTAAACAGTATGCATCGTAGTTGTACGATTTATTGGATAATTGAATTCATAACTAACTTTGAGTCCTTGATATAAAGAGTGCAGAAAGATCCAAATTTAAGATGAGAAGGAGGATAACCCATTAAAAAGGATGGAAATTAATTGGACCTTTGGTAAAAAAGCCATATTAAGTAGTAATCTCTCTCATCTCCTGCTCTTCTAACTTTGCATATGAATTAACTTTGATCATTTCAGACCAAGAAAATGGCCAGTGTTTGGCAACGAAAAACATTGCAGAATGGTTGCAGCTTTAGAATTTCCGAAACTGAAAATATGAAGGAAGAGAAGGAAAAGGAGGAGACGAAAATGGTATGATAATGAAAAAAGGAAGGAGGACTATCGGAAAAGAAATGGAAGCAATGAAGAGGAGGAACGGACAGAGACGCGGTGACGAGGTTCCCTTCCAGCAAAACATCTATCAAAACTCATTCCACCAACAAATTCTATCAAATATCTATAATAGCTTACTTCCTCTTCACACGCTGTGAAAATTCTATTATAATGCCCTTTAACTTCTCTTCAGCAAATTGACATCTTCAAAGAAGCCGGTGAAGCTAGTCACCGGAGAAGATACACCTAAATCAAACACCGCTCCGGAAATGACAAACATCGAAAATGCTGTTGATCAGCTGATAATATGAATTTGCAAGATTCTATCAGTCCACTCTCCAGATTCTGATTCTTTTCTTGCAGTCATATCTCGAAGAAAAAAACATATGCATACCGAGTTCCTCTATTTCTTTCATTACAGTTCCTTCATTCCACGTAGTACAAGGCGATGAACCTGGGATATCTCCTCATGCTATCGTTGGTAAATCGGCTTCATGCTTTCAGTTAAGTCGACGTCACGAAGAATTAGTAGTACACTACACGATAGATACTATTCTATGCTATATTTGAAAAATTCAATTATTTTGATAATAATTTACTTCGTAATATGGATAGAGCTGAAATTTGGAGCATTTCGCACATTGGGAAACAGACATAAAAGAAGGATCCACGAAGATAGTAGTAAGGTGATAAGATGATCGTTTGTTCAAATAAACCAGAAGTGAAATTTTAATCATTCAATTTGAGATGAGCTGAAAAGAACGGATAATGTTGAAGTAATACGCAAGACTGATGAAGTAAAAAAAAAAGGTGTAAATCAACTGTTAGCTAATGAATGACATACATCATCAAATATTCAAAGTACAATTCGGCAACGAGCCAACACCTCCAAGAACATTCGCTCAGAATCAACAGAACATCCTAAGATTATCATTGAATAATCTGACTTTCTCATAAAAAGAATTAGAAGAAAGCAAACAAGCTTTACAGGTTCATTTGACACATCCATTACTGTCCATATTTACAATTATTCTCAAATATCATTGATACAAAGAACGAATTTGAAGCGATTTCTACAATCATTCCAAACGACATCACCGGAAAATGTGAGTAAGCAGACTTCCCGCAACTTTTTACCTGCTGCCTTTAACTGAATCATTGCTAAAATCCGACTAATGTGAACTCGTAATATGCCTCTTTGTTTGACGGTTAAATTAACGAGAATATTTCCTGATTCATTTCTTCTACCTTATCAGTATAGATATTATTTAAATGCAACAGCAAGGGAAGATGCAGAGATTTGATATTTGTAGGAGTAAATATGAGGAGAATCGAATTTCCGTTATAATTAACTGGAATTTTTCATTATTTTCATGAGGAAAATAATACATTTTTCTACTATCTGGGAAATGGAACAAACGGCTTAGACAAAATTTTCGATATACGTCTCCATCACTGTTGTAAATTATTAATCGTTAAACTTCAAAAATTGTAATAAAATAAGATAATGCTGTAAATAGGAATAAATACGAAGCGCCAATCACTAATAATCGATATGTAAAGCTGCACGCCTTATCGATGCTCGCTTCGGCACTATCTTTTATAAACTGATCGATAATCAGACGAATTTTATTCTTTTCCTATCCGGCAAGCATAACGAGACACATCAGAACGAAAAAAAGCAGTACGAGAGTATCAGCATTCCCGAGATTCCTGAACAGCATGCCTCACCCGAAATGAAGTGACCCCATAAGAGTCCACCCAAGACTTGACCTAACGTCGGTTATCACTCACATACATAATCTGATCCTAATCCAATCACTTCTGGCTTGGATGGACTCTTAATTAATCCAGGCTTACCCTAGGATTACTTACTCCTTTATATTTGATAGAAAACAGACCAGCAATAGAGTATATAAAACACTTCATATAATTTATCTTTTAAACTGCACTGAAATGAACGAAGTCAACAACAGGCAATAAAATGTATAAAACGCAAAAAAAAAAATATTATTTCTTTTTCAAAATAAATGATAAAAGTTGTTCCACAGTGAAATAAACAGGAATTTTCAATAATTTCTCAAGATGTTAATATGATATTAACCGTAATAACAATAAGTGCAGTATGTGATAACGGTGATAAAGAAGGGAAGAAAGGAGGAACTGATATGATTAAAGCACAGCGGGATGCTACTACTAGTAGGTAGGATTTCTCGTAGGAAGAGGGATAAGGCAAGGAGTAGTGTTAAGGCTTATGAAACAATCAGATAGATAAAAAAAGTGTAAGGTTGTGTATGAATCGGTGTCTTTGTGGATAAGCTTCAAGTTGAAGTATCGGGAAAAAGGAAGTGCATTGTAGCGGGTGGTGACGGTAAGAATTCTATGGTTGGTGATGGCTACGATCTCGGACATTAGCTGGCTGCTCCTCGAAGCATACTGAGTACTTAGATGGATGGAGAAGCTCACACCATTACTCGCACCCTTATGCTTATCCCAATCCCTCAACACTACCACCATCACAACACCAACAGCCCATCAATGACATCTACAAAGCTGACATAGTCCCTCTCTTTTTGCTAATCTCTTGCCAATCTCCGATAGCTAGCTCGATTCTATAGTTCGGATAGTTGTTCGTAAGCTGTTTGATAACCTAACCCAGATATGCAGCTGCTTCGATGGCACTTGCAGCCTTAGCCCTAGTCGTAGCTGCAAGCGGTCTCGAAGCCTACGTGTGATTCTCACTCAGCATAACCAATCTTCCTGTTTCTCTTTTTTTCGTTGGAAAAACACAGCCGCCTGAATATTATTGATGGTTTGTGGTTAGATGAGGTAACAAGAGAAAAACTTGATAGGCATTGCCAAGTGAATATGCTGTCTCGCTAGTATCTGCCCAATTCTTTTCTTGTCTGAAGAATATTATCACTCATGAATACACCTATAGCAGTGATAGTATTATCACTAACAACAGTAGCAGCAGCAGCAACTTTTGTTGCTCGAATACAAACCGTTATTGTTACTATTCAATTGTTACTGTTATCGTTGTTGTGGCCGCTCATTACAATCGTCTATTCCTTTCTGAGTTAGAAAAAGCTTTATGCTAATCGATTTCTGACCGTGTTTACATATACGCATAAACTTACACCGCTAGAAAATTTAGCAATATGTTAACATAAAACAATTAGCAGCAATGGAAAAGCAAGCAAAAGAAGCACGCAAAGCATGCAGAAAGCAAGAATGAATGTCACGGGAAGTGCTTGGCTGCATGCGTTGACGATGTGCTATTCCATTGGTGCTTAGGCACACTAACGAAATAGCTATTCAACAAGCCGCCTTGGCCGTTTAATATCCCCAAACTCCCAACTAACTAACTGATGGGTAAACTGCATGTCAAGCTTATTCTGCTTGACTAGTTCAGGTATATTTTGTGTGCGCCCGTCTGTGTGTGTGTGTGTGTGTGTGTATGTGTGTGTGTGTATGTGTGTGTGTATGTGTGATCATATGTAAAGCAATTTAATCTGAAGGCATTTACGTAGGAACTATTCCTTTACGAAGCGATATGCAAACAGCGGCAAACTGACGTACGGATGGATGCTTTCATTTTTGCTTTTGTTCCAATTGCAAAAGCTCTTTTCTTCTATATCTTAAACAAAGGAAAGTGTTCTCGAGAAAGGAAAAGGAAACGTATAAGAAGAGGGGTAGACAGACAATCAACGAGTGAAATCCGGAAATATCGACAGTAGTAAATGTTGTCATTACTTCTCCAAAAGTATTAATTTTATACCATCCTAAAATTTTCCTGATAACGGCAGCCATAAAAGTATACCATGAGTTAATGTCAATAATGATAATGATAACAATAATAATAATAATAGATAATAGTAACAATGATAACAACAATATTAGTAATAA